GGTTTTTTGTTTATCCCAAGTCCACTCTGGGGAAGAAAAACCTCTTGAAGAATATTTCGCGAAACGCTGCTGAGAAAAAAGGACCTTTGGTCCCTCTTGAAATAAGTGTCTTCTCTATCTCCGGAGAGAGAAAAACCACGGGTTCTAAATCTTTTCTCGGGGGGGGGGTGGGGGGGCGGGCAGTGAGGGGGGGTTGGGGGGGGAGGTTTAAGTGAATCACAGCCACACTCCTAGGCATGTAACGAGATTGTCCACGTGCTCAGCAGGAACCAGGATCGGGAGCCCAGGACATGGCTAGCACCTGTGTTCCTCAGCAGCTGCTTCAGGGGTAGCCCTGTACCAAATTCCCCTAAAAAGAACCTTTCTGTGTATGTTACACAGAGTGTGCGCTTATCTTACAGAGGCTGTTGCAGCTCTCTTGTGGGTCAGATGCCACTGATAACCTTTCTCGTCTGAAACAAAGCCCGACCACATCACTATCTCGTTTGCCTCTGTCATCATCGTTGCCGCAGGGTTCACATGCACCCTAGCTGACAAATGAGTGCCGACCTCCTTCCCCGCTCCTCTGCTCCGTGCCTCTGCTCACCGCCCTCCCGTGCGCATGCATGACTGTGCTCGACGCAGAAGGGGCACGGCAGCCTACAGAGAAACAGGTCCCAAAAAAGCAAAGAGAAAAAGAAACCCGAGAGGAGTGGTGCTGTGATTTCTGGTTCGTTATTCTTCCTAGTTCCCCCTGGGCTCATGGTGCGGTCCTTGAGCCCCTGTCATGTGGTGAATGCGCGGGGAGCGTCCAGTTCATGTGACCCAGTGTCCACAGGCGTGTTAGCCAGGTCTAGGCAGCAAGTCTGGATACAAGCTTTTTGGTACACAGGGCTCCAGGAACACGTTTGACTTTCTCATCGACCTCAAAGTAACCATCCTGGACCCGTCCCTCCTGTAAGCCCTTTGCAGGGCCAGCGTGAGGTCAGAGAGGTGCCCTGCCCGCTCACCCAGCCGGCCTGGGGTCTTCTGCTGCTCTCTCTATGGAAGTTCCTTCCATAACGGAGGTATTTGGAGGATGCGTGGCTCCTAAACTATGTTATTTCTATACCTTCCATCCACGTGCAGAGGAAGTTCCCTGTGTCATTGTGCTCATCTCCCTGCCCCCACCCTGCTGATGTTCTCCACCCCACCCCACCCCACCCCACCCCATGTGCCGTTTCAGACCTCAGCGCCTCTGTTTGAACTATTCATAATCTCTTAAGTCTCCTTTACCTCCGTCCCAACCGCCACCTGCCACTTCCCTTTTCCCCATCTGGCCGACTATTATTTATCCTGCCAGACTGAGCTCACTTGTCACGTGCCTTAGGACACCGGCCCCAGTCTTCAGGAACGTAGGGCCCATCGGCTTCCATCATAGCACACCCAGGGTGTAAGCTCCTGGAGGGCAAGGTGTGCAACTTTGGATCCCTGGGCCCCCCGAGGGGAACTGGACCCTGGTATGGCATCCTTTGGTGTCTCTTCAGCTGTTCAGTTTCACTGTTAATTTCTACATGACTGCCTGTCAACGCGTGCTTTTTATCTGACACCAAGTAAGCTGAAAAGAGTTTTTCTGCGGCGCGCTGATAAGAATCTCTGAGTGAACGTAAGGGACTTGGCTTTTTGGTTTGTTTTACTTACACGGGCAGATTTGGAAATGAACCTTTGTACTAGAATCAAACAGAAAGGAAGCAGAGACCCAAAGAGCAGTTCGTCGGGGTCCCTCAGCCAGGAGGCGGTCAGGCCTCCTCGCTCCCAGCCCACAGAGCTCCTATCACAGCTTGGTGTCCCACTTTTTAATATTCTCTGCATGTTTAACATTTTGAAAGGTACACAGGGTTAAACATCTTTTAGAAATCAGAGGTAGCTTATGAGACCAAATTTGAGATCCCCTGGTGTAATATACAAGGGTGGGCAAGAGTAGGTTTACATTGTGAGCACATGAAACGGTTTATCTTGTATTATTAATTGTTTTATTATTTCCCATGCGAACAACTGTAAGCCTGCCTCTGCCCACCTGTACCTGCTAAGGAGCCTCCTTGTGTCCTCCTACAGTGTATGATCAAAGTTGACTGGGCATGTCAACCCACAGACATGGGGCCGATTTCCTATGTGGCTTGTCTACAGCAGTTTTCAGACTTCTGCAGCCAGTTTGTCAGTTTTCCTTTAATTTCTCATATTGCCATGAGCATAACCAAAATATCTGTACATGTGTAAGTGGATTTGCATGCCAGGATCTGTTGGTTGTATATATTCTTAGGGGGAAATGGGCTAGAATAGGAAGTGACTGTTTGGGGGGGGGTGTTAATAATATTACACAGAGCAGTCTCAGGACGGCTTATGGTGTTTCTTATGCTTTTCCAACATGTACTTTGATGATTCCTTTTGTTTGTTTGTTTGTTTGCTTTATTCAGAAAGAACTTGTGCATAACCTCTGCTTGGTGTCATTTTCTTTCAGGTGACTTTTCAGATCACCCCTCCGTGTGCCAGCGAGAGGCACTATGAGCATTTTGGACGGTGCTGTAACAAATGTGAGCCAGGTCTGTACTTCTGAGCCACCTTTCATCTCCCCTCAGGAGTAAAAGGGCTTTTTTTTTTTTTTTTAATCTAAGGAATGATTTCTATCTGCCAGATGAAAAAAGAAATTGGATGGACTTTTTATGGTAATGGCAGGTGGTAATGTCTGTCACTGAAGACAAAAACCTTTCTTTCAGAAGATAAAATCACTTAAAAATGAAAAGCAATTTCATAAGCTGGTACTTCATTCATGCTGGAATGCTATTTTCCAAAACACTATTTCTTGAGAAAAAAGAAGGCATCTAAAAGCATGTTTTAGCACTTTGTGATTCAAACTCTCAAAATAAGAAATTCACCTCTTATTGAAAAGTACTATCACATTAAAAAATTGGGGGTAGGGGGAGCCATACTGGAATTGTTGCTGCTGAAATTGCCTAAACCCTGTTATACCTTCTCCCCACACATATACCTGCTGAGGAGCAGAAGGTGGGCTGGTGACAACGACTTTCCCAAACTTGTTCTGCCAGAGTGTGGCCACACATTTCTATAGCCCCAATGAACTCCCAAGTCCACGGGGTCCTCATTCACTCATTGCTCTGGGGAGGAGAGTGCATCTTTGAGGAAAAGGTGGTTAACAAGACCCTCAAGCATGTCAAACTCATGGCCGGGACCTGTCCACAAGTTTGACATGCTTGCGTAGATATTTCGGCTACAAATATTTCTTGGATGTGCAGAACAAAGATCCAGCATGTGTGGTGTGTTTGTGTTTGTGTGTGTGTGTGTCCAGATTGACAGTAGGGGACATTCTGAAGACAGGAGGGGAGGGATGAAATGAAACCCCTCATGCTTAGCCCCCAGGGAATCCCTCAAGTTCTACAGGCCCCAGTTTGAAAACCCTTGTTCTTTACCTTACTCAGCAGAGGTTCGGCGTGGAAAGGGTGATCTTTCCCATGAAAGAACTAAAAGACCCCTGTGACCACAGGCCCAGCAGCCCAGAGAGGCTATTTCAGCCAGCTGGGAGCCTGAGGAGCATCACTGGGAGATGTGGCCCTGTCTCCTGTATCACACTGTCTCTAGGGGACTTCCTGGGACCATGGTCATGTAAATGGTCCAGTAAATTGGTGCATTTTTGTGTGTGTTTTTGGGGGGATATTTTTGATTAGTGCATTTTCCCCCTTCTAATTTAAGGGACATACATGTCTGCCAAGTGCACTACTACCTCGGAAAGTGTGTGTCTGCCCTGCGGCAGGG